AGAGTTTAGGGGCGCGGCCAACAGGAGGACAAGGCCCAGCCACAGTTAACAGAGTTCAGGGGTGCGGCCAAGAGGAGGACAAAAGGAGGACAAGGCCCAGCCACAGAGTTGACAGAGTTCAGGGGTTCAGGGGCGCGGCCAAAAGGAGGACAAGAGGACGACAAGGCCCAGCCACAGAGCGCAACCACACAGCTCAGCCACAGAGTTCAGGGGCGCGGCCAGTGAGTGTGGCCAACTCTTTTCTTTCTAAGATAGAACCCCAACAATAAATTATTTCGGGAATTAACAATACCTATAATTAAAGATTTATCCTAGATTTAGCTTAGCAAAATGACTACATAAATTATATCTTCTACAAAACATGCAAAAAATAATATCAATATATCCAATTTCTCTAATTTAATAATTTAAAATATAATGATAATTTATTTAAAAATTAATAGAAAAATATATGAATTCCTATTATATATATCTTAATATTAAATAATAGTCTATATATTTATATATATTTAAAAAATTCATTAAATAGATATTATATTATTTTGTTTTGAAAATATCTTGTAATTTTTTATTAGTATAAAATTTAAAAATCAAATTAAATACATATAATGAATATAAATATATATATATATTTCAATAAAATTAATTATACAAAATTATATTATATTAATCTATTGTATATTTAAAAAATAATAATATAATAATTAAAGATATATATATAACAATAATTATTATCATCATAATTAATTAAATTTACATATCAAAAGACAAATTAATTTAAATTCAAAGAAATATTTCATTATTATTATTTTGAATTCAATATTTAATAATCATTATTAATATATTATATGTTTATATTATATCTATTTTATTAATTTTAAAAGAAAAAAATAAAATAAACGAATATTTCGGCCAAAATTCAATTATTTTTCATAAAATTTATTTCGCAAACGCTATATATAAAAGCGGAAAGAATTATATTTTTCTCCGCCAAACCCTATTCCTAAGCACGGAATATATTCTATCGAAACATTTCAACCACTCAACAAAATAAACAAATTAATCTGCATTAATTACCAATTGCGGACGACAACATTAATAATATAAAACGTGCGTCCCAATATTTAAAATATTACGAAAATCTGTCTTAAAAATAATCAAAGGATACATTATATCAATTTTCAATTCAAAACCTTTCCATATATTTTTTTCAACATGCATTCAAGAAAATTAAAGTCGAATAATAAAACAATTGCTATAGCATCATAATAACGACCCTATAAAAATTTTCGTAACGAAATCCTATAACGAATATATATTTTATATTTATTCATTTATGTATTATTTTAAATATTGATGATAAATATGTCTATGTTCGCTCTGCGATCGCCGTAGAGACCTATCAAATGCATGCAATATCAATGTTCTTTTGAGAAATTGAACAAATGCAAAGGCCAGAAGATGGATGAAGATGGAAGGATTTGATTTGTTTCAACGCATCATTTATACCCGATACAATTGAGTGGAAGTGTGCTATTTTCGTGAATGTGTTTCATGGTTGTTTTTAGCCGTCCTGCCCTTAGTATCTTCCTCCAAAAGAACTATAAAAGGATGACAATACAATCTAAAGAAAATGACAAAGAATACAGAAAGAATTACATTTAAACACATCAAAAAAATATCTAAAGAAAAGAAAGAATTGTCTTCTTTTCTTCGGCCTCTGGATATCTTCCTCCACGGAACGCAGTTGACCCTGAAGCCGTGAAGGTCCACCTCCTCAAACGAAACGCACGACGAAACGACCTGAGACACCTCCAACCTAGTGGCGTCCGAACGCTCCGTTCGTAGCGATGCCAGGAGTCCCTAGTAGCTTCTTCTTGTTCCTAGTAAGGCTAGGAGTCCCTAGTAGCGTCCTTGCTCCTAATAGCGAGGGCCTCCAGAAGCAATGGCCTCTGACGGCTTCTGGTCCAACTCTGGGGCAGCTGCGCAACGGGCCACTCGCGTGTTCAAATGCCTGCAGCATTGGTCCGAAAGAAACATGTAAAACTTAATTCTATTCCATTTTTGTTCTTTTCCTTGATATTACTTCTTTTTTAACCTTTCCTATCTTTCGTGAATCCAATGACTCCAAGTGGAGTCTGATTGTCATGCTGTCAACGTGGCTGAGGAAAGGTCAGCTAGATCTTTTCCAAAAAAGATAAGCCAGTGGCACGCAGGCGTCTCCAAATGCTTTAAAGAACACTTTGCAAAGACGTCTCCGTACCATCTTCAAGCTGCTGGGTCTGTTTTGGTCTGTACAAAACTGCTAGCAACTGCTTTTTGCCTCAAATCCCTGCAAAGAACAGATTGTCACATCACCACTCCAATCCGAAGGCAAAGAACAAAACGTCCACCTCAGCAGCGTCTCTTCTTTTCACCTTGGCCAATTTCCAAAAGAACTTGTCTGCAAGCTACTCTTCACAGAAATGTTAATTCGTGAAATGTTCACCTAACTTCCAATCTATGAAAACATATCAAGCATGCCTACAAATATGCACACACAACAAAAGACACGATGCTCTCCCAAATGCTGTGCAAACACACGTGCTCTCCTGCAACAGCCAGGTTGCACTCCTTTGGGCCACCTCGTGCGAGTCACTAGCGGCACTGGCCTAGCCGAACGGACGAGTGCATTACGTCAAACAAGGGCAAAAGGCCAACTGCGCATTCCACTGCATCTCCCTACTGTCTTGTCCTCTCACGGGGCAAAAGAGTGATTTGCAAGTATCCATGGCCGCCGAGAGAGAGAGAGAGAGAGTAGCAAAACCAAAGAAGAAAACATCTAAAAGAATACCAAAAAAGGACAATAGAAGTACAGTAATTAGATATTGTCATTATCTGTCTTCTTTGCCTTTGGATAACGTGGTGCTTATCGAGCAGCTATCTCCCTAGTTCTGTTTTTCGTTGCAACGGTCCGTGGCCCAAATGCCTCAGCTAAGCGTCGAAGCCGCTGTGAGGCTGACCGCGTGGGGCAAAGGCCTGGCGTCTTCGTCTCAAAACAAAGGTCAGGAGCTACTAGTAGCTTCTTGCTCCTAATAGCGATGCATTGTTACTAGTAGCGATGCCCTTTGCTACTAGTAGCTTCTTGCTCCTTAGTAGTATGGCGCTACTAGTAGCGTCCTTGGTCCTAATAGCGATGCCAGAAGCTACTAGTAAGGCCCCTTCTTTCTTGTCTTTTTTTCTTTTGTTTTGCCTTCTCTTGTTCTTTTTGTAGTCACTAGTTGTAAACATATGAATTGAGTACTTGAGTGAACACATACTTCATTGATGCCTTTGTGCCCCTAGTTCTTCTAGCTTTGCCTCAGGAAATGGAGAGAAACACTACCTCACCAACACGAAAGGCTTTCAATCAAGAAATACTTTACGACTTGGACAAGTCCCGCAAAAACACCTGCCCTATTGCTCCATGTATCCAAATGGATCCAAAACCCTGAAAGAGCTTCGCAACATTGGGACACTCGGACGAACCTGCCTCGCTCAACTCTGCTGCTACTTGCAACATGCTTGAATTGCCAACTTTCAGTGCATGCTGTGTGTGACCCGTCTCATCTCTTGCCCCCTTCAGGCACCTAAGGCCTCATCAAGAGCATTGTGCTGCCTAAGGCATCATTGCTTGGGAGCCCATGCATTAGTTCCATGAATGTATGAATTCCATCTCATATTTTCCTGTCCTTTGAGCCCTTTGTAAGTGCTTGTCTACCTGCCCCAGCTCAGATCATCAAAGGATTCATCTGCAAAACCAACATACAAACAAATGGCATATAATGGCATGGCGTAGCAGTCGGGTAGGCAAAAGTCAACGACGACGCTCTAGACACAATCCGCTCAAAAACCGGGCTAACTCTTTCCTGTTCCTCATGTGTGTCCTTTATAGAAACAATAAGCTACTAGGAACAAGTGCATCGCTACTAGTAACAAGTGCCTTACTAGTAGTAACAAGGACGCTACTAGGACCTTTTAAATTAGTATTTAATTATGGTTTCTTCTTGACCCTTTTTCTTTGGATCTTTAGACCTTTCTTTGTCCTTCCTCCCTTCCTTTCCTTCCTTTCCTTCCTTTCTGTCCATCCTTTCCTTCCGCAAACACCACAAACACGCGCCTCAGCAATTCTTTGGCTTTGGCGGTGCGCTCTTTGAGTGCGTCGACCTGGAACCACGGAACAGTCTGGATTCTGTGGCGTGCGCCCAGACAAATCAGGCTGTCGGACTCCAGCGCTCCAAAAAGACTCATCTCACAGTTTGCCTACAAGAAAATGAACACAGAATCGACTCTCTTTTGGATACACTGTGATGGACTGAGCAACAGTGTCAGGTGATTGGGACCGCTTCGTGCCAACCCGAAGAAAGTGCTTCACTACGTCTAAGGAGCCGGGTGCTTCACCACTCAAACAAGAAATGTTCGTAGGCTGGTTAAGGTGGGCTGCAGGAAGCTTGTGCCATGTCACAACCGTATGGCTTGTCCCGAAACAAGACAATCCAGTAACAACAAACACAAAAGTGACAAAAAGTCCTTTTGAGGCCCTTCTTGTTTGTAGCAATGCATCAAAAAATAGGAAACATGGAAGTGTAGTTTGAGTTCAAGAGCTAAGGCCTTCTTGGAGCTCTGCCGCAAAGCTCCAAACCCAAAGACCGTCACCCTGACCTCGTCTTCCAGTCGCTCCAGTTCTTCCTCCCTCTCCTCTTGCTGTTGCCTGTGAGCTGTCGCCTGCGCGAGAAAAGCTGCAAGCTCGGCGACAGCTCGCAATGCATCTGTTGTGCACCCCGCAAATCATTCAAGACTTGAAAGAAAAAACAACAGGAAAGTCCAAAGTGTAAAGAAAAGAAAGACAAAAAGAAAGCAAGTCTTTCATGTGAGTGCCAGCTCATGTCCTGAAACAACAGTCGGGTACGAGAAATTGGCACCTCTTTCTCAAGCTCCCTCTTCTGCTCCATGGCCTGCAAGGCCACCTGATCAGTGCAAATGTTCAAAGTGAGCTTTCCGAGAATTTATTTTTCTCGAAACAATCACCATATACTGACACTGCATTCAATCGGTGTTGGTTCTTACAAAATTCACCAGCATGACTGAAGTTTTAAAAGGAGTCATGCAACGCAGCAACGCAAGAAGACTCAAAGCTAAACTGTCTTCCTTCGCAGGCTTTTGCGACCAACACTTTTCCCAAGAGTGAACCTCTTCATCCAAGCGGCCCTGCAACAAAGCGATTCAAGTTCTTTGACTCAGAACCAGGTCTGCCATGTGTGGCAGGGCCTAAAAAGGCCCTGCTATGGCCATTCTGCCACTAACGGTTTTAACCGACCTCCAGGCTAAGCACTGAAAGTGCATCCATCAAAGGATGGGATAGTCGGAATAGTCAAAAGGGACACAAAGACAAAGGCACATGTCCCACTGCACGCCCAATTGCCTCATGATTTTGCAGGCCCGATGATCCTTCCTCACATTTTTTGACCCTTGGGCGACTTGCACTTCGTATCACTGTCCACTCCTGTGCCTCCAATATCTCATTTTGGATCTCTCACAAAATGCAACCCATACAAGACGATCCCCACCAGGATGCATGCAGCATGCCATTTTGACATCTTTTAACTGTACTTTAAGAAGAACCTTGGAATAAGAATTGCCCTCGAACCCAGTAGCGATGGAAAAGACCGAAAGGGACCGGAAGGACCTCACCCACTGTGGCGCACCTGCTTTCGGGAGAGCTGCCGCCGGAGCCTCAGCAGCTTCTCCTCCGACTGGCGCACGATGCCTTCTGCTCGGCCTTGGTCGGAGTCTCGGTTGGCGGATGATGTTTGATGCCCTTTGCTCCTTTGTATCTGTTTGATGATGGTTGGCTTCTTGCTTGTAGCAAATTAGCTACTAATGGCAATGCCCTTGTTACTAGTAGAGATGCCCTTGCTCCTAGTAGCTTCTTGCTACTAGTAGTAAGGCCAGGAGCCCCTAGTAGCGTCCTTGCTCCTAGTAGTAAGGCCAGGCTCCTGGGTTCTTTTTAAACCAAGGACCAAAGAGGATACAAAGGTCCAACCCGCAAAATCATAATTTTGGCCCAAACCAAGACTTTTTCGAGATCACTCACGAAATGGCTGAAAACGACGTTCTTGCTGAAAAGCACTTGAAACATTCCAGGGTCCAAGCTTTGCTTCTTCCAACTAGCGGCAGCTCGCCCTGGATCTTTGCCCAAAGCCAGTGATGCTTGCTGAATGAGTGTTTCTTGCAGATTGTGGCGCTCTTAAACATCTTCAAGAATCGACAGAGTTTGACTGAATTCAATGGCTCCAACTATTATGCCAACCCCACAAACCTCACAACAAATCGTCAGCCCGTGCCTAATCGCAGCACGGCAAGCCGCCTGAACGAAAACAGCCAAGAGCACAAGAGTTTGTAGCCCACAGATCACGCGTCAAGATCATCGAACCTGCGACATTTGCCTAGGTCCAACCAACAGCTCATTCTTGCACGAACTCTATCTGCAGGTTATAGGACTCTGTTCTACACGTGTATTGATTGTAGTGTTTTCCTGCAATCACAACTCCTAATTTGTGCCTGCGCCACTTGCACAGCTCCTGGTGCCGCTCAGCCTTCTGATCGGCCAGCATTGACAGGCGCGCCTGCAGAATACAATGAAAAACGTAGAGCCTGCACCAAAAACCAAGGGATCCCAAAGGATTGTTTCTGCAAGTTCTTTCTTGGAGACTGAACACCCAGCTTCACCTGCGCAGCCTCCATGTCAATGCGGATCGCCTGTCGGCCATAAGCTCTTGTCGGGTCTCGTGACAGATCACACGCTTTGACCCAACACATCTTGATAAGGTCTGGCGACCATTAGGTTGGAGGCGATCCCTATCACGGTGGAGGCGATCCCTATCAGGGTGGAGACGATCGCTATCAGGTTGGAGGCGATCCCTATCAGGGTGGAGGCGATCGCTATCAGGGTGGAGGCGATCGCTGTCAGGGTGGAGGCGATCGCTATCAGGGTGGAGGCGATCGCTATCAGGGTGGAGGCGATCGCTATTAGGTCTGGCGACAAGTCTCTTTCCTGTTCTTACCCAAGAAACTATTGCTACCTTTGACTCTGGACATCAACACGAAACCCGTGGGCTCCCATCACCACACCTCTTGCTTTGCTTCCCTTTGCATGGCCTGATTGGAGGATGGACAGCCCGAAACCGACGTAGCAATACTTGTTTAATGTTGGTATCAAACTCAAAAGGCTAAGATCTAAGCAGTCTCCTCCCGTCTCTTCTGGGTACTCTTCTCCACTTCTGCAACAGCCTCACAGCAGGTTGATTGCATATATCAAACCTTAAGGATTTCGGGCAAGAAAGGAATCACCCCAAAAAAGGAACGAATGCGACAGCCAAGGACGAGCGAAAGCCCGGCCTTCGCTGCACATTGGCGAGCGTCGGGCTGCTTCGCCAGCTTTTCCCGAAGTTCGAGCACCTCCGCTGTAAGGTGTCAAGCAAATCGACTGCCGAAATGAGACGGGAAAAAAAAAAACAGAACATGGGAGCCACAACTAAGTAGTAGCGATGCAGAATGCTTTGGGGTCGGGTGAAGCCACCAGGCAGAATCGTCTGCATCGTGTGTCTTGCCTTTGCATTGAGCTTATTGAGGCTTTCACGCTCCTGAGAACGTGTGATGGCCTTGGTGCAGGTGCTGAACTTATCAAAACAATGCACATGAAAGAAGAATGTTGCAGACCCTCTTGTGGTTTGGGGGAATCATTCCTTTCACTAAATCGCCAGCATGGCTTTGTCAGGAACTTCATTCCAAACTTGGTCTCCAGCTTCAGTCTTCATCTTTTGCGCGTCAGCTGTTGAAGCTTCATCCTTGTGCAGTATGCGCCAAAAATATTTCATTGTTGGCGTGGGTATGAAGTACAAGCTACAATGGATATTCTATGTTCCTCCAAAGGACTCCTTCATCCTTCAATTCCGAAGCTCTGCTTCATGCTCAATGCTCAGGAAGCTGGTCGTTCATTCCGGCAGGACTTCTCCCGCCTGCCGTCGGCGCAAATGCCGAAGTTCCTCAACCCGCTGCCGCCAAACGACCGCCTCCTGAGCATCGAACCGGGTGGCACAGGTGGCTTTTTTGTGCACCTGAAAAACTGAATTGTGACCTTTGGACATCCACTTTATGTTTCATGAGTGCGTCGTCTTAGTCTTCTTTGAACCTCTGAACCTCAGAATCTCTTGAAGCTGAATACCGTCGTCCGACCTTGCGAGTAACGGCCCGAAAGCCTGTTGGATCTGCTCCAAGGTTTCGTTCGCATCACGAAGCGCCTTCTGCTCAAGACCTCGGTCGACGTGGAGCGCCGTCCTTCGCTTTCGCAACACGACCGCACCGGTGTCGGGCACGCCAACCACTCCCCACCTCTTTGTAGCCAATTAGCTAGCAATGCCCTTGCTCCTACTAGCTTCTTGTTACTACTAGTAAGGCACTTGTTACTAGAAGCGATGCACTTGTTCCTAGTAGCTTCTTGCTCCTAATAGCAATGCACTTGTTACTAGTAGAGATGCCCTTTGCTCCTAGTAGCGAACCTTGTTACTAGTAAGGCCAGGAGCCCCGTTCGTAGCGATGCCCTTTGTTCCAACATGGATGGCACTGTCGGCTGAGGTTCCTGGGGCCAACACAGAGTGCCTGCTCTGCCTGGGAATAGCTCTCCTGCATGGCTAAAGCTCTCCAGTCCTGCAGAAAACTCATCGACCTGGCAGTCCTGCAACTCTGGAAGTTGAGCATCGTTGACATCAACCTATAGGCACACAGTCTTCGTTGAAAAAACAAAAGGAAAAAAAACGTGTTGTTTACGTGAAAAATAAGTGCTGTAAATAGATTCAACTGATGATTCAATTGATGTTTCAATTGATGCATAGAGCAATTAAAACCTCTCTTCGTGTTCCAAGCAAGTATATAGACCGTTTGCATGAGCTCACGGCACGACCCTCTGGAGCCATCTGATATCACATCACCAGGAACGTTCCGATTTGTAGCCGAAGGCAAGGCAAGTCTTTTGCCTTTGAGCCAAAGCAGAGAAGCAATGGCCTCCAACCTACGAGTGATCTAATCAATAAGGTGCCCATAGAAACATTCCTTGGGAACCTATACTCAGTACTCGAGTGCCAAATCCTCCAGGGCAGGTGCTTGGGACAATGTCCATCTTCTCCCAAACAGACCTGAATCAAAATTAGTCACTGACGGTTGCTGGACTCCGTCCTACAAGTTTGGTTTTGGAGTGATACATTGGACTGTCAGAGGTCATCAAGCGCATGGAATGGATGGATCCAATCCAAAGTTCTGTGGCCGGACAATTCTTGAATCGGGCAATGTGGAAACACCCTAGGCATACTATTGATGGACGACATCATGCATCGGGAGCCATTGGTATTTCAGTGGATCAGGTGCCGGACGAGGCTACCGTTAGTTTACTCTCCCTGGAATTACTATGAAACTGGAAAACCCCTGTTTGTAGACACCAGTGTCGCCTTCCTTCCGTGATCTGGACAGGGCCACGACGTAGTTCCCCAAAAAATATGGTTCACAAAGTGGAGAAAACCTTGTGCAGCAATGTTTGCAAGCTCTTTGCCAGCACAATTGTTTGAGGTAACTTGTGGAGTCGAACGAAATCGGATCTGAATGAAAAACACAATAGTTAACTGGAAAAAATGTTTAGGTTTATTTGTGTTGAACTTGAGAGTATTTAAGTCTACGTGCATGCTTTGTTTGTTTTCCGAAAATATTTCACCCAACAACCAATATCATTTTGTTTGGATCCCTTGCTTTGTTTAAGGCCTTAACAGCCGGATAAGCCAGCTTCAGTGAACTGAGCATGTCCAGCGTTTTCTCTTTTTCACCGCCCATCCCGCCTACAGTGTGCCAGAGGTTAATTGCTACCAGTTCGTTGCCGCCAACATGTTTTTTTCTGAAAACACTTCACAACCCTGTCTCCTCTGCCCAAACACCATGAACCCTACTAACGACTTTCAACCTGCAAACAAGTTAGAAGCATTGAAGAAAGAAGTGTTCATGGTCCTAGCCCAGAACCCTCGTTCGTTAGAAGTTTGTGGGGTCGTGAACCAAAACGGACACATGTCCGGATCCCACGTAACCACAAAAGGAGATTCCAGGCCTCCACCAGCCCTCACAACTCGACCTGCAAAGCTCGGAAGAAAGATGGCCTTCAACCGCACCAAGCACTGCAGCTCCCACTTTCATCTCGCATGTTCAACTCATTGCTTCGCATCTTGCGAAGACGTGCGAGCGTTGTCCTTTCAAACGGTTGGCCGCGAGTCTGTTGGGTTGGTGTGTAAGAAAGGTTGCAACTTTCTGAAAAATGTTCTACCACGTTGCGGTATGGGATCACACAGAAGAACCGTTGTGGGTGTAAGAAGTGCTCAAGGCCCACACCATGACACGTCGCGCACCACGCGCTCTATTCAATCCTACTGAGGCCCTTGCGCCTGAAATGCTTGCGGCACATGTCTCAACATGGCATGAAAGGAACCTTGGAACGACCGCTGCAACCTTTTCACAAGGCCTTCAGGCAAACTTGCTACGTGCAGTCGCAGCGTGGTTCAGAGAAGGCTTTGATTCCCCCCGAAGTGCACCAATTATCCCGGCAAGAGACCCCAAACAGTGTGTGTGTGTGTGTGTGTGTGTGTGTGGGGGGACTAGAGGTGTAGCAGCAGAAAGTCTAGAGATCTAGACCCATTGGGGTCCAGAGAGGTGATGGTGGTGATGAAGGCGGAGATCGTGGAGTGTGAGTGAGAGTGAGAGTGTGAGAGTGTGACTCTCTCTCTCTCCCCCTCTCTCTCTCTGTCTCTGTCTTTGTCTCTGTCTCTGTCTCTCTCTCTCTCTGTCTTTCTCTGTGTCACAGAGCGTCACAGAACTAAGACTGAAGGTTGGAAGGGCAAACAACATGCCTGTGCCCACCAAGTTGGCAAGGGCCCATTCTTCAAAGCAGCAGTCTTCAAAGCGGCTGCTACTTCTGGCCCGTGATGCCAGTGACACACACAAGCACGTGGAAGGCCTGCGCAGCATTGGCGGCCGATGCACCAGTCGCTCCCGTGCCTGCATGGCTGCAAGCCGTGCTTCCCACTTGGTTGGGGAAGCTCTGGAAACATAGGCAACGGCCTTTGCACTCATGCCTTGCCAGTGAGCGCGCTGTGCAAGGCCAATCCTCGCTGCGGAAGCTTCGTGCATCTGAGGCATACCTGGACTTTCCTGATCTTTGAACGGGTGGCAGAGTCACCCGGGCACTCTCCATCAAAACTAGGCACGCATGCAGCTTTTCGGTTGGTCTTCCTTTGGTGTCACCAACGGTGGCCGACTCGAAGGACCCCCACGCGGCCCACTAGGCAGCCGGATTCGACCTTCGACTCCCAGGATCTCCATGTTGTCATCCCAAGCCCTACACTGTCAAAAGATTCCAGCGGTCAATCCAAGGTTCCTCTCATGCCATGTTGAGACATGTGCCGCAAACATTTCAGGCACAAGAGTCCCAGTAGGTTTGAATCAAGCGTGTGGTGCGTGACATGTCATGGTGTGGCTTGTGAGCACTTCTTACATTGGTAGCGGAGCTGTTTTTTTTGGAGTTGCACCAGGTCATCCTCGACATCAAAATGACTTGAAGAGTGTTGTTCTTCAAGTACTAACAAGGTAGCAAGTAAAGGGCAGTTTAGTCCAAGATCTAGGGCCTTGCAAGACCAGTCGACTAGGTGCTGAGTCGATCTGCCTTAGGAAAAATGACAGTGTCCCACTACTAGTAAGGCACTTGTTCCTAGTAGCTTCTTGTTACTACTAGTAAGGCACTTGTTACTACTAGCGATGCACTTGTTCCTAGTAGCGTTCTTGTTACTACTAGTAAGGCACTTGTTACTACTCGGAAAAGGACAACACCGTCCCATTTTCCGTTCCGCGGATCTACCGCCCCCTTTGGGCAACCAGCTAACCGCGGAGCCGCACAACTTCGGTGTCGGGCAACTTTCTCTCCTTAGACACAGCTTTCCGGAAGACACTCCACAGAAAGAGTTCTGTGTTTGGAGCATTCTTGGGAAAATAGCAACAGAAACCCAGTTTGCCACCGAGACATGTGGAAGGGTCTTTGGTTCAATAGCTTTGCACGGTCTACGTGTGTCACATGCACCCCTGGGTGGGGCAATAGGGCTTGAACTCAAGGAGTGCCTTACGATTGCGAGGCACATTGGTTATACATGAATGAAATAATTCCCCTCCATCCAAGCGATGTAGTGCTGGAGTTACTATGGAGACAAATTCCGCGACAGATGTGAAAGGCCAGAAAATATACAGCCGAACAATGTGGCTGAACATACATGGGAGTTGATCTAAATTCCTTTATCTGGGATCCGTCATTTTCGCCAAAACAAAATTTACTTTCGCCAAACTTTCGCCTTCCTCCGTTTTATCTTTCGCCGAAGTACGTTGTATTTATGTGTGCCATGCATGTTGTGTTTTGTTCACGTCAATGGCTTCTTCTTTACTGGCAAACACAAAATAGAAACTTCACTGTTTGTCAGCAATGTCTTCTACTTAACTGTTGACACCCTGTACGTCTCTTTTGTTCCTCCTGGGTGTCAGCAAGAATCAAAATTGCAAGAATCACTGTAGTAGCCGGTCACTCAAACTTACTCATAATGGGCTGAACTTTCGCCAAACTTTCGCCTTTTGCGGGGTAGAGTTTTGTGGCAAAGCCACCCCCCAAAGCAGGAGTGGGAATAGTAGTAGTAGCAGTAGTAGCAGTAGTAGTAGTAGTAGTGGTAGTAGTGGTAGTAGTAGTAGTAGGAGTAGGAGTGGTAGTGGTAGTGGTAGTGGTAGTAGTAGTAGTAGCAGCAGCCGCAGCAGCAGCAGCAGGTTATCTAACTTCCACAGCTCATCTAGCTTCTGAGTCACTGCCACCAGCTGTTCAGGAAGCAGATGAACATTCATACAAAAGTACATATTTAATCTTTCGCCAGATCTTTCGCAAAAAAAACAATCGCCAACTCGAGAAAAAACTTTCGCCAAATGAGATTTTGATATGTTCCGGGTCATCGTCATACACACTGCTGACGAGGACCTTTAGATCGACAACCACATATCTCCAGAGTCACAACTCTTATTAGAGATGAAGCTGCAATTCAATTGTTTCACGCTGCAAAGCACAAGTCACTTATGTTCAAAAACTGAAGCATGAAGATCGATGTCCACTAGCTTTTGTGTCTCTGGCTCATGGTTTCCACATTCTCCATGCAGCCCAGCCACTTAGTAGTAAACACGCAAAGCTTCGTAGACACGGTCATCGAAGACAGAGAGCGCTATGGCGAAGGCCTGCTGTCGCGGCCGCGAAGATCGCTACGAAGCTCGCTACGAAGCTCGCTACGAAGCTCGCTACGAAGCTCCACGGAAAGGACGTGTTCCACAAAAGCAGCTAGTGGGATCTGCTCGGCTTAGACTCCTCGACCAGACTTCTTTCATGGCGCCCAATAGCTCCCATGAAATGGAAATCAAATACACAAGAATCGGTTCGGAATTAGAGAAGCATTCCTATCGGTTCCAGCTTTACAGAAATGGTGGGTCCTGAAACTCACCACGACATCGTCTCTATCAACCAACTCTTTGTGTGAGGCATGTTGGGCCAAATCTTGGTGTTCTTGCATTCTGGCAAGATCCCGCCTGCATCGGGCTTAGGGGCCAGGCCGCATCGAAAGAGAAGCCCGTCTCATCAATGCGGCCGAACTGCATGGCTAGGGACTCCTTGCAAGAAATTGGGTCCACGAGCCCATCCATGAGGCGGGGCAGGTGTAGCCTAGGGCCTAGCAGTGGATAGGTAGATGCCATAAGGCTCAACGTAGAATCAAAAGGTTGGGCTTGGAGGCACTTTGGCTTGACAGCTGGGGAAGTCTCACCAGACTCCCATCTCCAAATGGTGACTTTCCACACCTGAGAATCGACTGCAGAA